AACAGGAATCTGGACCCTGGCTTTAATAAAAAAAATATACAAATATCCATTCAGAACTCTGCTGTGTGGATCCAAACCACTTTTAGCTGTTTTCTCAGCCTGAGCAGATCCTGATCTGAACAAACCTTTCAAATAAAAAGTCTGTTTTGGTTTGAGCTGAACATTTGGAGGCAGCATGTTGTGTCTGTGTTCTAAAAGCGCCATTAACTCATTTATATTTTGCCTTGAACGGAGGAAAACTGAAGAAACGCTTCAGTTTTTTATTGCTGTACTTACACCAAACTGCCACAGAGTGTCGCTGTAGTCAGGCTGTACTGCATGGCCACTGGTTAAAGCTGAAAGAAAAGAGCCCCATAAAAGCCACATAAAACACAGCCCAAATAAAGTCTTTACTCAGCACATTTATTTTTCTGTACATATAGTAAATTAAAATCCACATTCAATGTTTACATTTAACCAATGTATGCAAAACACAGACAAAAAACTTAAGACAGTCGAAGCAACAGAAACTCTAATGAGAAATTCAACACATGTTCAGAGTGAGTGGCCAGTACTGGCCTTCATTTATTAGCTCCTTCAGTCTGCTGCATAGATGAGGTAGAGGTACCAAAAGACAAACAAAGGGTTTTAAATGCAAATGTGTAAAGTTTCAACCTTTGTTTCAACATTGCTGTGCAGTGAATGTGAACATGGAGGCTGCTCTGCATCATCTCCTTTGAGTTCCAGAACATCAGAACAGCTGCTCTGTGCTCAGAGAGCTTCATGGACTCAGTTATGATGCAGACTAAGAAAAAAACACATTCCACTATACGACGGACATGATAAGTGGAGGATTTGTTTAATTAATATGTAGAATTAATCATCTACCAATATCATCATCATCATATATTTCTGTATTACTTTTCACATTATTCTCTTTACACAGTATTCCCATCACACAGTTTATTTAATCCATCATACATCAAAAGCTAATATTTCATCAAATCACTATCTAAGGCTCCTGTAAATACATTCTGACGTGCAGATTTTCAATCTGCCATCATGTTATTCAGGTGCCCCTCTACTCCCTTATACCGTTTCAGCCCCTGGCTCATAGCACCTTTTCAGGGCTACACTCCCTACTTCTATGACAGTGCAAGTTGTCATATTAAAACACCCATGTGAGACTGATTTATGACAATTTCAGTTGAGTTATTATTCAAACAGAGCATCAGGTTTGCATAATCAACAGAATCACCACTGCATTTACTGATTCACCAAAAGTTAGTGCAGATGTTTGTCAGCTGATAGGTGACCAGTTCTCCCTTATGTTAGTAGAGCTTCCAATTCACTGTTTGTAAAATTCTGGGGGGTTGTGGTCTGTTGTACTGTCCTCAATATTTTTGTTATTATCAGGTGCAGAGCTGAGACATGATCGGGTCGGATATGATTTGCGTACTCAGCTCGGACAGCGAGGCCTCAAGTACACCAACATGTGCTCATTTCCATGCTTAGTCACAGGTATAACATGTGAGTGGATTCAGCATTTCAATTGAAAGCCAAATGGAGGCACTTCTTGCTTACATAAAGGCACGCAAATATGAGCTCTTTGTCCTGCTGCATGAGGAACATGACGGAATGAGTGAAGACCTGCTGCAAAGGCCACAGACTTGGAGTCCAATCTTAGATAGCTTCATAGAGAAACTAAAGCCTCTTTACAAGTGACAACAGCTGCTCAACCAATTGAGCTTCATGGAACCTTTCCTCTTCCTTTTTAATCAAGGATTCTCAGCTGTTGCCCATGCTAAAAACAATAAGCCACAGACAAAAAGGAATCTGACAAATCATGAAACCTTATTAAAAAACAAACCCTGAAACAGATAAAAAAGTTGTGAAAAGTATTACAATTTAAAAAAACAAGCCTTCCTGCCCCTCCAGTTCTCCACCACAACAAGCCCAGCTATCAAAACCATCATGCATAGAGGCAGGTTGCTATATATCACAGTAGCGCCGTCTTTAAGGAAGGGCCAGTTTAAATAAGAGATCTTACAGGATTGTTGGGGCAAACAAGGTGAGTATCCAATCCACAGAAGAGAAGAACTGGAACAGAAAGTGGCACAGGAGGAAAAGACAGGAAGTGAGACAGGAGATGGTCTGCATCAAGATCCCACAGTGGAGCCAGGAAGCAGCAACTGCACCTGAATCTAAGCAACATGAGGGGAAAAAAAGAGCAAAAAGTTGGACTCAACAATAAAAACCATGGCCTCACGCTGACCACAATAAAATAACTTAGAGCATTATATAAACTATCCAAACCCACCTTCCCTAATGCAGATGTGTATTTTTTAATCATTCAATTCTCTCCTGTACTTGCTGCCACACAACAAAGTAATCTGAACTTGATCAGCCAAGCTACCTTCAGCCATTTCTCCTGCAAACAGGAATCACTGAAGACAGCTTTCTACTGGACCAGACAACGTTCATTGTACACTGCAATCAAAATAATAATGAGGCAGCTACCTTACCCACTGGACCATCAACTTCAGACTGAAGAGACTAACTTAACTTGGACCTTAACTTTCCTATTCCATTGTACATTTTTACACAGCTCCTCTACCGACCCCCCCCCCCCCCCCCCCCCCCCCCGCTACTTTCTCATTCCTTTTTAATAAGCTGTATGAAAAAATGCCAAATCACACTGAGACTGAGGCCCTTTTCTTTGTTATTTACTATTCATCTTTCGCTGCAAGTTTTCTTAAATCACATTAAGATTAATAAAGAGGAACAGAATAATGACACTCTTAATTAAAACTTAAAGGACTACCTTGTTAAAGCCAAAGTTGCTGCAACGTATCTACTAAAGAGAAATGGATCATAATTATTTCAAACATCGATGGTTTGAAAACGATGGTTTGAAGGATATTTTTAATTCCTAACCAGGGAAGTGTTGATTGTAAGAATTGTGTTTGTTCTTATTTGTCAAGTTTTTGGCATGAAATATGTTCTCATTTCTATCCCAAAACACAATATTACAACTAAAAAGAAAAAACAGGCAGAAACATTTATTGCACAGATGGGAATTTGTCCAAGGATGTCCTATTTTTTCCATTCTATTTTTAGTTACGCTTTAGTTACGCTTTACTACCACTTGACACCTTTCTAAATCTTTTTTATACATTTGACACTATGTGCTAAATCTAACAATTTTATTTTCTTAATAAGACAGACTGGTTTCCCCTTCCTTTTTCCTCCTACACCTCCCTCCCTCCTGAGTTCTTACACCAAACCTAACCCCAGGCCAGAGAAAGAGCATAGTGAGACGACACAAAAATGTTGGATTTTTCTGGATTGAGAGTGCAAGACTTAAACTAATAAGAGATTAGTATGTACTATTTTACATGACCTTTGAGCTTCTTTCCTGCATTTGCCAACCTGATTGGTTAAGTGTCTGGATCACTGAGGCTTGTGCCATATTTGAAATAGCCAGGTTGTGTCGGCCGAGTGGAACTCCCTGTTCAGAGGATCGTAATTCTGATGTGAACTCTTTTAAAAAAATTTTTTTTTAGATTTTGTTGGCTCTAGTGGCCTTTTATGGCAGTAGCTTGACAGGAAAGGGGGCAGAGATAGAGAGGGGGAGACCTGCGGGAAAGGGCCATGGGCTAGAATTGAACCCAGGCCGCCCGCTTGCGAGCAGAGGCTCTGAATATGGGCCGCCCGCTCTAGCCATTAGGCTACGGCTGCGGCCCGATGTGAACTCATTTTGACCAGCCGGTTTTGTCATGGTTGAAGGACTAACTCTGATGTAGACACAAATTATTAACCAGACCGAGGTACAGTTGAAAGCTTTTATTTCTTACTTCAAGGTTGAGATGGTCGGTGTCGTAGTTCCAAAAGGTTCTCGGACTGGAGAGCAGATGGGGCTGCCAGGGGTGAGTCCACAGGACGGAGTCTGAGTGCCTTGAAGGGGTCAGTTTCCTTTTGGTCCAACCCAAAAGGAATGACACAGGGTGGCCGGGCAGCACTCGAGGAGGGTCCCAGAAACTGTGAGGAAGACTGACTTGGAGATGATGAAGCACTGAGGAGAGTAAGAGGACAATAAAAGTACATTTTTGCTCTGGATTACATATAATTGCTGGTGCTGTAGGGCTAACTGGTAGGTTACCACTTCATGGGGAGCGTGTTCCTCTAAATACTGCCACTTGATTGTTGCACCAGCTGGAGGCTCACCTGCCAGAACACACCCTGAGGAGAAAGGCTCACAAAGCTCAGCTTCACAAAAACCAGTGTCAATATGCAAATACATATTGTCATGTTCTTAACGTCAGAAAATGTCCTCTTGTGCTTAATTTGACAAACAATAAATGAGGAAAACCTTACCGCCTGAGGACAACAGTGCAGGCCGTCTGTCCTGGACCTCTGTGCCTCCTCAGAACCAACTCTCTTCGTCTGAGGGAAAATGTCAGCACCAATCTTCTGCTGTATGACTATCATGTTCTTATCTTTCTTCTTCATTTCTTTGTACAGAGCAACTCTTTCTTTTTGAAGAGCAGAACTATCAAGGTTTTGTGAATAGTCTGGGATATTATTAAACTCTCCATGTTTGGGATTTTTGTGGGTGACAGGACTGCACTCTTCATCTCCCCCTTTTCTTTTCCTCTTCACATTTAGCTCACTGCAGCCTTCCTGACAAGTTTATATTTTTTGTTGAACTTAATGGCAAGCCATTCTGTCTTAGATGCCAGAAGTCCCACTAAGTAACATGTAAAATCAAAGAAAATTGGAATTGAAAATCATTACAAAGGGAGTGTGTGAGGAAGGGATGGGGTGATGTTCTTCTGTCCCCATTACTCTATTAACAGGATAAAAGAAACACTGTTTTGCTATGATCTTAACCTAGTCAAGAATAAGAATGTGACTAAAACATTCTCCTTTTCCAGTGTGCATTTGTGACATATGGAAGTAGTTTGGGTGAGAGTAAATATACAAACACAATTTGACCCATCTGAGCACTACTCACGTCTTTGGGATTATGATACCTCTTTGTTTTTTAATGACTGTTTCAGTCAACTTTGCTTTGAGAGCAAATCAAACATTTTTACAAACATGTATGTTTGCAATCAGACTCAAACAGTTACAATATAACACTTGACTGCAAAAGTACCATGTTCGAAGTAAATGAAAAGTAACAATACACATACATACAATACTTTGTAAAGTAATACAGTAACAAAAAACATTCTTTCAGATTAAATTGGCTAATAAAAGTAACAAATGGTAAAAAGCCCATATGGACCAATTCTGCAATATAGTAGAAAACATGTATTCCAAATAATTTTGTTTATTCAAATTAATAAGAAGAAGTCATCACCATTTATCTGAATGATGCAAAAACGTTTTATGTTAAGCGTTTACCACCTAAGCAAAGACCAAAAACAATAGTTGAAAACCCAGTGGGAGCTGCAACATGAACGCAAACTGCATTACAATGAAACATGCAGATTTCTGTCTGGGATACAGTTTGTGTAAAGTATTTGTTTGTGGAAGTATGCCCCTCTGTCACAATGCTGAATTGACATGTTTAAAAAGTTTTCTTTTGACTACGCAAGTCAGCTTGTATAATAAGGAAGCTGAAGTTATAAAAAAAATAAATATGAGGCTACAATCTGTGACATGTTTCCTGGCAGAAACACAGCATAAGGTGGGTAAGAAAAGTATCCTGTTTTATTTACCTCAAATTACTGCAGGCTGAAGTTGGGCTAGTACAGACTAAACCATGTAAAAGTTGTTTGTGCACGCTTTATGCCAGCAGGGGCTGCCATCCAGGGTTTGGTCCATGTTTTCCTTGACTAAACATGTGGGGTCAGATGAGGATCTCCACCATGTCTGAGTCCACCTCCTGTTGGGTAGCTGGATTTGGAGGATGAGTGTGCTGCTCTGCGTGGGGCTGGACGGGGAACCTCCGCTCCAGGGTGCTGCTGTGAAACACTGGCACATCTACACAGGACAACAAACAGCTTTAGGAGACACACGGGAGTGGAGGGGATACTGTCTTGTGGTAACAAGTGAGAATACAGATATCTGCACCATTTTCTCCAGACATACTATTCTCTCCAGCATATGAGAGGAATTATACTTCTGTCCTCCTGCTTAAATAAGGTTTGGGCATTTTAAGTCAGAGACTTCTGTGCATATGAACAGGGGGGGCAAATAGCTCACCTTATTTTTACAGTGTTTTTAAGAAAGAATTAAATACATGTCTGAAAAAAGGAAAAGGTCCTGTGTGAACTCCTGAGAATGACCACAACAAACAGTCTGCATTTTACTTTTGAAGTTGCAATACATATATTTCATGCTCCTTACACTACAGCACTCACAAAAAGTTAGGGATGTTGTTATTGACATGAGTGCCTTTCCTATTTGGTCTGAATTTTAATGCAATAAGTCAAAGTTCCCTTTGATATGACTAATAATGAATGAGAAAAAACTCCATTTTATTTAGTTTAATACCATCCATCCATCCATTTTCTACCGCTTCTCTGGGGTGGGGTCGTTGTTCTTCTTTCTTACATTATATGTGTACAGGATTTGTCAACAGTCTCACAGAAAAACAGTGGAATGCTTGTTCAAAACTGTGTAAGTGTTGGATAACGTCGACTAGGGCTCCCTGAAAAAGTTATTGATAATCTGAATTGTGACTTCCCGCTTCAATTTAGATTAAATAAAAAAATATTTTTCTATTGGATGCTGTCATGCATCCAATAGTGCTGGCAGAAGAGATTATTCTTCCTCCAAAACAACAAACTTAATTGTGTGTGTTTTTCTGCGTTTTTATGATTGCATTAGGATTTACCTAAACACAAATTGAGGAAGTGGCTATGTAGCACGGGAGAAAACAGACCCGTCCTCTCATCGCCATAAGAGTGTGATAAAACTGATTGTTTTTCGTGTCATGTTCATGGTGATGGTCCTCGACTTTTCTAAGCTGTTTTAGGGGCCACTGCTTCAGTTTGATGATTTACAAAGCTTTGAATATAACTTATACTCGCCCTAAGCCAGATACCTGAAGAGTGGCCACACAGCCCAGACGCTGTCTGAACCTGATGCCCGACATGAGCTGACCCCGCCTACGCTGAGTGCCCACACACTGATGGCATCCCTGAAGTCTTCAAAAAAAGGTTGGCTCGCACGTGCAAACTCTCAGTCGAACCATTGCATTGCATGTTAGGCACTGTTGAAGTTGCATTGAAGGATGAAAATCAAGCTAGGGGGGGGGGGGGGGGGGCTGGCCTCACAGCTCCAGCTTACTGCAGAGACCCTAATTAGACTGGGCACACTTTTGTTATCAGCGTTCTCTTCTTTTATGCACATAACCAGGGTTAGGGAGTTTTGCTTTTCCCGGATTTCATCATTACTGTGGCAAAGAAACGTGAAACATTTGGGGAGGTAGCGCTTTCTCTGATATAAAGGGGTAACTTTTTACTCCATGATTCTCAAGATTACCTCGGCAAATTGGACAAGTCACTCCCAACGTTGAAGGCCCTTTACTAGCTGTTGACTTTGTTAGCACAAACAAGTAGGGTACACTGTAATCTCTGCAATATCTACAAAGTCCTGCCAAGTTTGGTCTGTCTTGTGTTCATGTTGTCTTTGATTTCCTGTTTTTTTTTATGTTCATCTCCCGTCCCATGTCACTTACCCTCCCTAATATGTTACCCTGTTTGGTCTGATTTTGTGTTCCACCCTGATGTGTTCCACCTGTTCCCAAACCTTTGTGTTTGTGTAGAAATGGTTAGTGTTTCCCTTTATCTTGTACTAGATTGTCTTGGTCAACTGTCAGGAAACATAAACTTTGTTCCATACCAACTCCAGCTCCCGTCATGTTTTGTACTCTTGTGCCGTAGTCAGTTAAGTGTTCCTCTACAGCTAAAGCTCTGCCTGTCACTCTCACTGAGGCTCTGAAGTCTTGATACTACGCTTAGCCCAGCCCAGGTTAACTGATAAACTTGATGGCAGTGCTCTGAACTTCATTAGCCGGAACTCCAAGGTTCTCAACTCCCCAGCACATGGAGTCTTATATCAACTTCATCATCTGGGTGCTACGGTTATCCGTCTGCCAGACACACCTAAAACCTTCCCTAATTCCCAGACTAGTAGTTGGATTGGTCAAATCTATTCATCATGATTTCATAAAAAGGGTTAGCAGTTCTGTTGCAGAGATGTGTTCCAGTTCCACACTCAGATGTTATCTGTGATCATACATATTACAGTATTTTGAAATTGATAGGATGCTCCCTTCTGTAATCTCAGACTGCTGCTCATATAATGCAATGTTGACTTCTGACCACTCCCTGGTGAGTGTGTGCATTAAAGGTAAGAGTAGTGCTCAATCGAGGCCCCCGGGACGGTTTACTTACGTCTGATCTCAGAAAAATGTGTTGGTCTTTTTAAGAAGTTCCAGCATAAGCTGATCCCAACATTGTTCAATGAATCAGTATTGAAATGTCCTCATACACAAAATCAGGCTTCTGTTTTTTAATATTAAAAAAGGAAAGGATCCATTTGACTGCCCATTCTACTGGCAGGTTTATTAAATGTTGATTTTGATTATTTGGTTTGGTCTTACCCCTTTGACTTCAAATTACGATCTGTTTGCCGTGGCCATTGATTCCCTTTCAGTTGCCCTTCGTGGTGATTTGAGAATCTGAGGTATTTTTTCTTGTGGTCTGGAGCAAAGGTAGCCTTGTATGCGGATGATCTTCTGTATTCATCAGAATTCTCTGCTTCCATCCCAGCAGCAGTGTCCAGCCTGGATTCCTTAGGTGTTACATTTGGGTTCCGAGCTAAACTTTCAGTGTGTCTCTCTTTTCTTTTTTCTTACCACAAAGTTTTTCTCATATATTCCAGCATATGAAAGTCCTCTGTGGATGTGGATGCAACTTTTGCAACCACATCAACGTCTAGTCAGTATAGCCCTACCTAACCCCATATTCGACTAATGGGCAGCTAATTTTAAAAAATGACAGTTTTGGCTTTACCCAAATTCATTACAATTCGTTTGTCAATATTAAGACTTTTGTGTCACTTACTATTTGTAACGTCATGCGCATATGTGAAGGGCCTTTATTTTAGCTGGACTATCATCAGGAAAATATCATCATTACGATTGTTTTTATTTTAATCTACTTTTTAATTGATCTGCTTTTCCTTTATCTATTTTTTTACAGGGGTTTGGGTTATGCATTCCACTCCAAAGTTTGTTTAGTCACTTAACTGTGTCTTTGTTTTCTCTTTTTTTTTCTCTTTTCTATTTCATACTTAGCATTATTTCTTACTTGTCCCTTGCGCCAGAGGTCTTGTGATACTTATTATTTTTGTTTACATATTGTTCATTCCCCTTTGCAGAAAATAAACATTGTTGGGGGAAAAACAACTTCTTTAAACGCAGTGGTGATGCCCCCTCATCCGGGACATAAGCTCCCAGGAACAGTGGGCTGAGATCCCCCCCCACCCCCCTGTGCTCAGGCATGAATAACGGGAGGTCTGAGCTGACCTGCTAAGCGGTCTGGGATGTAAGCTGGGCTGGGGCTGGACAGGAGAGGCGGCAGGGTGGTACTGGGCGGGGCCGGTATGTTGGTCTTGCTAGCGTCCGGCCCCTTGTCCGTCTGCATGCAGCTGTCCCTGCTGCCGGTCTTTGAGTGGCCTGCCGTCATTGGAGTTGAAGAAAGCACTGGTGAGGGGGATGATGAGATTGACTCTGTCCTCAGAGACTCTGCGCGGGACTCTGGACCCAGCAGAACCCCTAAAGGAGCACAAGAAGAGATTTTCAGAAATAAATGTGACCCAGATGATGTGTAATATAAGATCTATTTTAGCAGACAGAAGCCCTGTTCAGACATGTGTCGTACATGTTGGATAACTTCACAGGAAAAGAATGTAAAGGCAGGATTTTTCAAAGGACCACCACATACACGGTAGCCTCGTAGGGTCAGGCCTGCCTAATGTACATTTACAGTTCTGCATACTTTGCGGTATTATCTGGTGTAGCTTGAAAAGAGAGTAAAGTTTGACCTTACTTCATGAAAATGTCATATTGTTCTTTTCTCCCTGTCAGTGTTCAGGCATGTCTGAATGAAGCTATTCAGACATGCTGCCCCATACATGTGAGATTTAAATAATTATGCAAATATCAGTCTTCTCTCTTAGTTTTTAACAAATTGCACATACATAATTTTATTTTAGTATTGTACATATAAAACAATCTGTACAACTTCCAGCTATCAGTCCTCTCTCATCTGTTGCATCATGTGGTAAATGCGATTATTCTCACCAAGACTGCCTTTCCAGCTTGTATCCTTGCGTTCCTCTGTGATTGGTGAGCTACTTAGTCCCAGACTGTATGACAGAAGTCCGGAACCCCCAGAGCCGGAGTTGGAGATGGACATGAGAGATTTGGAAGGCCTCATGGCAGGCTGAGCATCAGACTTGATGGGATCTTTCCTTGAGCGCTGGTGAAGAACCTTAATCATGGCATCCTTCTCAATAATTTGGGCATGAAGATTCTTTATTCTGGATTAAAAGAAGGAACAGAGCATATTCTCAGGTAGTGTGTGACACTAAGTGAATTACCTATGTACATATACTTACTCAAGAATAGTTTTTTTTTTGCTTAAGAAGAATTGAGAGCATGCTAAATGTTTTAGGAACTTATTTAAATTCATCTTTGGTCTTTTGAAGCTTTGTAGATAAGATTGGCTACAAGCTACTTGTCGGCCTCATTAAGTAAAAATTTTATCTGTAACATTCTTTTTCTTTTTTTGCAGTAAAGTGATCTGAATTTGATGTTTTCCACGTTTAGCACTGCAGAAAACCGTTGAAAACCAAAAGTTAGCTAAAGCCTCTCATTTGTTAGCTGTATTCTAGCAGCTCTCAAAAGTCAACTAAACTCAGCTCAGTTGTAGTTTTATGTTTTATTAATGTTGTACTTTCATTGGATCCCTGTCAACTCTGTCTAGTGATGACAAGATTTAACGTTGCTGTAATAAAACCTGCTCTTGATCCTGGTAACTTATTAAACTATATCAAACCTCCCTTTTACTTTTAAAGAACTTGAAGTTGTTGCAGAGTTCTATGCTGGTTCTGTTGGATCTCAGAGCTGCATCCATCACAGCATTTCTTACAGACATGGCATGTTTTGGGGAGTAAAGGGGCTGCATTAGCACAATTTAATCATCTTCATCTGATAAACTCCACTTTGTTTATGTAAAAGACAAATCTTCTCCCCACGAGTCAATATTGGAGTTCCTCAGGTTTCTGTGCTTTGGCTAGTTTTTGGACTTTATAGATTTCCATAGTTAGGCCTATGATATTCAATTATACCCTTCTATGAAACCAGGTGAAAATAATTAAATGGTTAAACTTTAAATATGTGTTATAGACAAAAAGACCTGGGGAATTCCTGCTTCTAAATTGAGACAAACTAAAGTTGTAGTTTTTGAACACGAACGTCTCAGGGAGTAACTGTTAATTATATATATATATATATATATATAAATAAAGAGCAAGAGAAGTTTCTTTAGCCTTTAATCTTACAATTAGGAATCTGCTTTTTGACTTGCATATGAAACAGCTTTCAAGGGCTGCCTTCTCCCTAGTATCTCTAAAATGAAGAACATCCTGTGATGCTGAAAAATTAGTACATGCATTTCTTACTTCAAGTGTGGGCTGCTGTAAAGGAAACAAGAAAATTGCAGTACATACAATTGGACCAAACTCACTGAATAGCGAGGCACATGATTAATTGTGACACTGTCATGTGAACCCTGTATATTTTAAAAACGGGTTAAAAACAAATGTCTGATTCCATTATTACCATTAAATGACTCACACATTAACCAACATAGAGGTTTAGAGGGTTTATAGTTGCCGCAATGTCCTTGATTGTTGTCTCGTGCTTGAGTCTGTTCAGCCTATTTTTCTTATCGGACATAATTGAGTGGCGCAAGAGTAATGTTGACAGGTGGCTGTCATTAGGCAAAGTGGCAGGGTGCTTGATCTCTTCAGGCACAGCCAGTCTGCTCAGCCTGTCACCGACTCTCAGAATTCCATCCTGAAGAACAGAATCCAACTTGTAGAGTCGACTGCTTCTCTTCACAGCTTGGCCCTTCTGTAAAGCATATACTTCATCTCCAAAAGAGTGATGTTGAATGAAAGACATAAGAGCCTCCTCAGCAGCGGTGAGATCTTCTAATGACAACTGTCGGTCTGCAGGATCTGGTTTTATTGACAGGTTCAATGTGACACTTGTCTTCCTCTTTTGGATCAGATGCTTCTTGAACTTCAGTAGGCAGGATCTGAGGAGTTTGTTCCATTCTGAGAAGTACTCTATGAAGCGAATTAGAGGACTCTTATAGGCTACTGTGGCCAGAGTTATGGCAGCTTGCTTAACCTCTGGGTCATTGTTAGACAGCTCTAGAGGGTACATGATGAGCTTCGGCCAGGCAACTTCGGATTCAAATAGAACATCTGGGGCTTCTATCCAACTTGTGCCTTTTCGAAAGGTCTCTGCCCACATTCCTCTGGAGTCTTTGTCTGCTGGATTAAGATCAGTTCTAATGTGACGCCATTGTGACTTCTGTGTCAGGTCTCTGATGACCGTTACTCTGTTAGCAACAAAGGTCTTGAATCTCTGTGTGTCACTCATGATGCATTTGAGAACAGATGTGCCATCGGTCCAAAACACAGAGTCTATCATCTCGAACTCCAGTTAATTCGTCAGCATTCGATCTATCCGAGCAGCTAGAACTGCTGATGTCAGCTCCAGTCTGGGAATAATCACTACCTTTAAAAGGAGCCACTCTTGCTTTTCCCATCACAAAGGCAATGTGAGGAGGTCAACATCTGCTGGTCAGTCGCAGGTAACTAGGTAACTTACTGTCCCATAGCCACTCTCACTAGCATCGCAAAAGTGGTGCAGTTGAGCACTTGTGACTTCAAAGCCAGCTGGTTTGTAGAATCTTACAATTCTGAAGCTGGAAATCATCTTAAGTTCTTTCAGCCACACTCCTTCCATTTAAATGCAAGAGCTGTTGGGATTTCTTCGTCCCAGCCGCAATTCATCTTGCATAACTCTTGGAGGATTTTTTTTCCAAACAGCATAACTGATGATAAGAATCCCAGGGGATCGTAAACTGAATTAAGCACAGACAGAATTCCTCTTTTATTATGTGGTTGTTCTTTCAAAGTGATATTAAAGAAGAATGTGTCAGATTCGATGTCCCATCGCATGCCAAGGGCACGTTCTGCAGGAAGTTTGTCTCTCTCCAAGTCAATGTTCTTAATCTCTTTGGCCCGTTCCTCTGAGGGTAGTGAGGCTAGGACAGCACGGCTGTTACTAGTCCATTTGGCAAGCTTTAATCCACCTGTGGCGCATACTGCCTTCAGGTCCTGGACCAGAGTGATGGCTTTGCTTGCATCTGGAACTGATTTGAGACAATCATCCACATAAAAGTTATGTCTGATGGTGGCAAAAACGGACGTGTCTGCTTTATTCTTATTATCCTCAGCTGTCTGTCGGAGTGCAAACTTTGCGCAGCTCGGGGAGGAAACTGCTCCCAACAAATGCACGACCATTCTGAATTCTCTGAGTGGTTGGTTAGTGTTGCCATCTGGCCACCATAAGAATCTCAGAAAGTCCACATCATTTTCAGGAATTAGACTTGATGGAACATTCCCTCTATGTCCCCCATCACTGCCACTGATTCCTGTCGGAAACGAAGGAGTACACTCAATAAGGTGTTCGTAAGGTCTGGGCCTTGCAGTAGCTCAGAGTTCAAAGACGTACCTTGAAATGAAAATGTACAGTCGAAGACCACACGGATAGATTTTTTCTGTTTGTGATAGACCCCATGGTGTGGGATGTACCATTTCTGCAAACCCTTTCTTGAAAACGTCATTCATGAAATTGACGTAATCATTTTTAAACGACTGGTCTTTTTCTAGTCTTTTCTTGAGACCTTGAGCTCTTTGTTCAGTCATTTTCCTATTGTTCGGCAGGTGAAGGTCCTCTCTGCGGAACGGCAGTCTTAATTCAGAGTGACCTTCTTTCTTTGTGATGGATTCATTCATTATTTGAAGAAATCTTTTATCTTCAACAGAGTGTTCTGCTTTCTCTTGGTGCGCCAATTCTGAGAAATCTTGATTGTATTGTCGCACCAAGAGTTCTTCCAGACGAGCCACTGTTTGATGTTATCTGTGGTCGGCCATGTTGGTCTAAGGGTGGGCTAGTACCCAGAGGTCCGTTTACGATCCATCCCAGGTGTGTTAGGACAGCATACGGCCCCTTGTCTTGGCTGTTAATGACCTTCAGCGGTTCTAAGGCTTTGGGAACGTTCACTCCGATCAGCAGACTGACGTCGGCACTGATGGACTTCAACTGGACTGCTTGAAGGCAAGGCCATTGTTTGAGATCTTCCTCACATGTGATGTTCCCTCCGTTAACAGGTATTGCGGGTTGTGTAAATACCTCTGGAAGTTCTATGAAGTCATCACCATCTAGGCTGCATACTTGGAGTCCACTCACCTTGTAGATCTGCACAGGCTTTTCTTGACCTATGGTTCGAAGTAAGATGTCCGTTTTCCTTCCTCTTACGGACAGTTGCTCCATGAGCGTCTCTGTACAGAATGTTGCGGAACTTCCTGAATCCAGAAAAGCATACGTTTCAACAACGTGAGTTCCTTTGGCTGTTTTTACCTTTACAGGCACGATAGGCAGTTTGTGGTCGATGGTACCGGCTCCTGTTTGGACTGTAGATGCCATGCCCAGGATGACTGAGTCTGTGCCGCTGCTGGCATCTTTCTTGGCCACTGAAGAGACAGTCACATTTCCTACAGCGCCATCTGGAGGACTGTTTGCTATGTGCAAGATGGTGGGGTGCTTCTTCCCACATGAGCGGCATATCAAACGGTTCTTACATGATTTACTTAATTGAATATACTTTATACTTTATTGATCTCCAGGGAGAAATTGACTTCCAGCATAGCCCGTACCAAGATCAAACAAACAAAACACATAGACAAACCAGTTCGGGAAGACTAAGGGCAGCCACACAGGAGGACGCACCAATTTTTCTTCAGAACAAAAAATACATTTGGAAAGTAGTTGCAGGAAGAGGGAAAAAAAGGCCCAGTGCCACACCCCCAACAGGGGACGTAACAGTGATTTAAAAAACACCTCAGTACACTAAAGCACAGATATAGTCAAATCAAAACATCAAGGACACATAGGAAGGGAGGGATGGGGGGTTGGAAGGAAGCGGAAAGGTAACAGCAAGGCAGTGAGTCCAAGGAATGCATGAAGTCTGTACTTGTGTGTGTGTAAGTGTAAGCAAGCTGGAGTCCACATCCACAGGCTAGATGGAGTTTGTCCTTGTGATACCCATACTCCTGCTTGGGAGGAGGGAGGGGGTGGGGTGGGCAAAGCGTCCGTCTGCAGTTCCATCCAGGGCAAAGTTGTAGAGTAGCAGCTGCAAGGCCGCTTTCGGGAGGCCATATTCAGATAAGAGATATAGCTTTGTTCCAGACAGAGCGTGTTTTGTCTGCCTTAAGTCCTCAGCAGGTCTCTCAATGGCGATCCAATTCAGCCGAATTTCCCTCCATCCGAACCACCAACTTCTCCAAGGTGTTCCCCATCACCCTCATGCTGTCAGACATCATCCCCATTTTGCTCCTATGAGCCTCCTGTTTGCTCACTTGGCATTATGTTTGCGAGACAACTCGCACAAGGTTTGAGTCAGAGTGTTGATGGCCCGGTAAACTGGCTCGACAGGAAGCTTGCCACCAGTTGCCATCAGCCTCCGAATTTCTCGAAAACCTAGGTATCCACCAACTCCAATCAGCAGGAACCCAGTTATCATGAATCCAAATAGGTATAGGTCCCTCAACGTCCTCCACGGAGAGAACTGAAAGGCATAAAACCCTCCAGCTCTTCCAGGCATCCATCGTGAAACCCGCAGGGTGAGTCCCGGCTGGACCAGTTGCAGCCCCTGCAGCTTGTCTTTGGGTAGAGAAGATTTTGTCAATTGCGTTGAGAGACCAGCCGACCAAATCCATGGTTGATGTTGGGCTTTAGGAAGTGAAAATGCAGAGAGAGGCTCTGAGATACGACAGGACAGAGATAGCAAGCAGGCTGCAAGGGCAGGGGAGGGAGCAGAGAGAAAGACGTCTGCACTCGCCGAGAGCCGGAAGAAGATATGATGGCCTTTAATCAAACACGCAAAGCAGAAACCATTTTTCCTTCAGAAAATCTACTTTCTGTTGATGAGGGATCTTTGTTATTTTCTGACACGTTTCCAAAGCATGATTTCCTTTACAGTTAGTGCACGGTTTAAGAAATGCATCATTCATATCCGCAGTAGGGCCTTTAATTCCATTTTCCATTTTCACAGGATAAGTTCTGTTAGGGTCAGCAACACAAACCACTGGGGAGAATGTGGTAGCAAAACATTTCTTTGCGCCAGATTTTACATGTGGCAGATCTGCTACCACCCGTCTTGGTTGGCTGATTTTAGTGACGTCTTGAATGTCACCAAACACAGGGTCTTGCAATATTTTCACCTGCTTTTCGATGAACTTTACAAGATCACAGAATTTGGGTCTCTGCTGTGTTTGCTCCATGATGTCACATACAACAGATCTCCATCTTTCTCTGGGCTTGTACGGAAGTTTTGACACAATTAATTTCATGTTTGATGGTAAATCAAGTTCTGACATATACCGAAAAGATTGAGCAGCATTGTTGCAACTTCTTAAATACATTCCATAACTATGCAGTGCTTTAGCATCATCTTGTCTAATTGTAGCCCAGATCAAGGCCTTATTCATATAAGCTGATGCGATTTTAAACTCATTTCCAAAATGATGTTTTAGCAAACGCTTTGCTTCAATAAAACCAGCTGTAGCATCCAGATGTAAACAGCTTGTAAACAGTTCTTTTGGTTGGCCAGCTGTAAACTGTTCAAGGAAATACAGTCGGTCCTCATTACTGTCAGTCTTGTCCTCTATATTGTGTCTGAATGCCTACATGAAGAGCTGGAACTCTAAAGCGTCAAACTGAAAACAGGAACTTCTTTTTTAGGGAGTGATGTTTGAGATACAACAGAAACAAGCAGATTTGTCAAGTCTGACTGTCTTTGTATTGAAATATCTGAATGTTCAGACTGGTCCCTTTCAGAAGTGAATTCCTTTCTTGTTTGTACATCTGTTATGGTGACCTTAGATGAATTTGGTTTCATTTTTTGTTTTGCGGGTGCTGCTGCTGCTGTTACCGGTGGTTCAGACATCTGATGTACACGCAGGGTTTTCTGTAATGGGGTTTTAGGTACTGCTCCTAGTTCAGCGTAGTGAGGTGGAGACAGGATAGACTCAATTCTGTTGCTTTCACTGGATTTAACTTCAACATTTTTGGTCTTGTGCCCTTGCAAATATCCTTCCAGATACGCATTCATATCATCCTCTGTTTCATATTGTGGCTTTATTTCTTGGCTTGGCTCAAGTTTCTCTAACACCTTTAAGTTACTGTGTGAAATAGCAGGATCTTCTTTTAATTGAAGTGTTTCAATTCTTGCTTGTAACTTCACCTTTTCCAGTTTTATTTCGTGCTTCTCCTTTAAAACTTTTGCTTTAGCCAATAAACCAGCTTTGTCAATTGCTATCTGAACACGAATAGATGAGACTGTGGAGGATATTTTTGAAGTCTTTGATGCAGTCTTAGATACCCTGGACGCACTGTCAGTTACATCAACTAGTGTCTGTGGATCTATGTTTTGTTGTTTTAACCATTCATCAACATTAATAAGGAATTCATTATATCTAGCCGTTCTAGGTTCATAACAATCAAGATTTTCACTCTCTCTCACATCAGACAACAAAGCTTGAGTAGACTCATGACAGAACTTAAAATTATTCAATATTGTGTGGAACGCAGCCACTTCCCTTTTCACATCCTCAACATCAACATTGTCACAAATGATAGCTCTGATTTCATTCATTTTGCGAGTGCATTGTCCAAGTTTACCACACCGGGTTGCGCTGAGCGCTTTGAAAGACAGCTCGCTTTTATAGCCTTGCTCTTCAAAGCCTGTGGCCTCATTCTGGCCTTCTTCATCAGACATGATCTCAGTTTATGTTAAGTCTTTCGTTTAAATTTGTTTCGTGTCTTTCCAAACAACGTCAGTATTCCACAGTTAAGTTCCGTTTATTACGCGCATTCATTTAGTTTCATTTGCACGCATCCAAGCGCTTAAACTTAGTTCTTTTTTGTTGCAGGCTCGTTTGTTTCCTTTTAGTTCAGTCAGCGATTCAAATAATGTCCACAAACACAATCTATTTGATCGTATTAACATCGTCCAACGACATTAAAAGTGCCCGCTTCGAATAAACACGTCGGCATTCCGTTCAGCGACAGTAACGTTAGATGAGCGATTTCGCCGTTAACGTTATTGTCCATCCGAACTATTCCAGTCTCTCGAAATGTTTGCTCACCTGGGTCGTAGAACAATAAGCCTCCAGGTTACTCACAGAACAGATGAGACGATGATTTGCAGGTAACGTTAATTCCACACACGTCTTGAAGTAATCCACAAGTCTTCAAGTAATCCAAATTGTAAACGTTAATCCACAAACAGGCAATATCCGACACTTCGGGCAGTTTTTCAACCTAATGTAGCGGCAACCTCGCGGCTACCGCTTCCGAGTAGAAGTATAGGTCAGATCCAACGCGCGTCTTAGAAAAATAGAGCCATTTATTACTTACTTTATTTACAAACAAAAGCGCTCCCGCATCACGCGGTTGAAAAACGGTTTGTCCCTTCCACTCTACCTGACCGGCAGGTGACGGCACCTATCAATCAGCTTGTCAACGTCACCCCACCAGACAGGAAGAGCAGCAGATAAGTATATCAGAATGAAAACAGACATATTTCCAACTAAAGATTCAAAATTAAATCAGTAGAATTAGGATGCCAATAAGTTCATAATTCAGAAAAAACAAAAGAGATGCAAAACGGCTCCAACAAAGGACTTCCAGGGGTAGTGACAGGATGTAAGCACTGAAGGAAAATGCAGGAACAGAGCACCAAAAAAAGAAAGACACGGAACACTGAAAGAGTACAAATAAATCCCACGCAAAAACTATGGGTAGAGAAAAAAAACAGTAACTCCAAGGAAGGGAAAGCGAAAAACGTCAAGTTCAAGAAAAAATTCCAACAACACATAAGAGATTAATGAAGGAAGTTGAATCTAAATAAACCATGGCATCAACAGGGCAGGATTACTGTGTGCTTGTTATTTACCTGCTTTCCATGTCCAAGCAACGCCGATTGGCCATGAGAATCTCCTCCTCTTCCTTCTGGATTCGAGCCTCCACTGAGGTGTCATAGCTGCTGGTTGGAGAGTGGCTCATCCCGGCTGCAGACGTGTCCCTGCAGGACACAGGTCAAAGTTCAAGTCAAGAGTGTCCATTCCAAGATGAATGTGTCAGCATCCATTGGTTTTATTTCAACTGTACTCTTCAGTCTAATTATCTGAGATTTGAAGAAAACAAATCAAATACTGGTCAGTGCAGAGCCCTCTGAGTGTTCTCGGTTGTGAAATAAATGTGAGTGCGTTTGTGTTGTATTTCAGGAGGCTTACAAACACCACTAAATTATGAATATAATGGACTAAATTTACATGGAAAAACAGACACGCACAGATTTATTCCCGTAGAAGACAAATGTCACATGTATGTGGACAGAAACAATCAACTCTGATTATTTGGTAGATTAGGTGAAATTATATGAAGTTCAAATCAATCTTATTTATAGAAAGCCAAATAAAATGATCCTATGAAAAACAATTACAATCCGAATCACTGCAATAGAGTCATATCCAATCAAATACAGTTTACTCATTGCCAGATCAACACTGAATCTTCCATTTGATCCTGGGGTTGAGAGGACAAAAAAGGGGGAACATAAACATCGTGGCACCTGGCCAGAAAGAGAAACGCTAAATGCTGGTGTCGGTGCTCAGCCATCCAGATGACAGTGATCTTCAGACCAAGAGTAAAAGCAACTGGACTTTTGTCCTCTCATCCTAAAGGCTTCTTCAGTTTACAACTGTAGGGGAGTACGAACTTATAAACAGAGAGGGTTGTTATTGAACCCTTGACCAATCGAGTGTTTTTAGTTATTCTAACATGAAGATTGTCTGACTGTCTGAGAGGCTGATGTTTGGTCACAGGATCCAAGGTATGAGTGACTGAAACTAAGGAGGAGAAAAACAAGTGCTGATAGCTGAGACCCCTCTCCTGGTTGAATTCTTTTGTTTCCATCTTAACATTTCAAACCATCTGTCTTCTCTGTCCAGACTGTGTACATCACTGCCCTTATGTATGTATGTATATTAGCTACATGTAAACCTGTGTTTTTTTCCTAACTGAATAGCACCTTTTGTGTTGTTTGTACATACTTTGTCTGGTCTGGAAAGGAGAAGCACCTCCAATCTTGCTATACGCTGTATAGGGCATTCTACTCTATCCTTCTACTTGTCAAACAAACCCCTGACGTATGTTCAGTTTTTCTGACAGGAGACTTAGGACAGATTTTGTACATCCAACATTCCGCGGCACTGCTTTGAAAGTGCGCTGCTTTGATCAGACCTGGAAGAAAGGGTTTGAGTTGTTGCTGTGGGAGTCCAAACCAATTTTCTGACATGAGTTTTCTGAGTTTCTGAGATTTAGAAATAACCTGCTGCAGAAACACACCTCTGAGTCGCTACGGATGATGCTGCATCCAGAGCAAACTGCCTCATGACGCTCTCCTCCAAGTACTTCTGCTCCCACTTAGTCATGTCAGCCTCCAGAGCTAGAATCCGCTCCTCCTTCTCTCTGAGGTGCTCCATTAAGGCAGTCGCATTATACTCAGATGGCGCCCCACCACTGGCCTGAGAGATTCCTTGGCGCTGAGAGGGAGTGGATGCAAGGAAAAGAAACATTATTATACTTCATTATCATGGTTCATCACAAATGAGCAATCTTTGTAAATGTACAGATTTTAGAACATGGAGATATAACATAATCAAAGTGAATAAAAAAACACGTCAGGTAACCAAAAAAATAAAATCTCAAAGACTTTCACCAGCCTTTGCACATTGTGGAAATTTGTCAGATGCATTGTTGAGAGGTTAGTGCCATGCACATGCACAAGAAAAACATAAAATGGTCTCCGTAAAAACAATAATATATAAAAAACGCAACAATTAAAAGAAAAAATGTGACATTTTATATTTGTACAAGGATTTCCGCACATTAGCTTGAATTTTTTTATTTTAAAAGCCAATTTATTTACTTTTCCATATTTGATTGACCTATATTACCATTTCAGTTTTATTTCTGATTTTATTTTTAAAGCTTTTTTGGATAAATATAAAATGATCAATTCTGGAGCTGCTTACAGAAAGAAAGACAGGAATCTGCCCTTTCACTAATCAATGAGAACATCAGAGCAGCTTCTGGGAGAGCTACGTTTCAAAGCTTGTTTTTCTGGGCCTCTTTGCCTACTGAATGTATGTATGGCCCATCAATAAATCCCAAAAAACAGAGAGGATTTCAGCTCTTTCTGAGGACCTCTGTTTTAAAGGAGGGTCAGTTAGGAGTTGGTGCGTTACCTGCTGCATGCGCAGTGACTCCAGCTCCCTCTCCAGTCGTGTACGGAGTCTGTGTTCCAGCTGCTCTCTCTTCTCACACGCTGCCTGGAGCTGGGCCAGAGCCTGCTGCATTCTCTCAACTTTTTCCACGTAAACCTGCTTTTTCTTCAGCTGCACACATTAACACAGAAACACTTGATCTGTGCTGCATTCTCTTCGTAATGATCAAATAAAACATAAATAAAGACATCTTATTACCTGAAAATTTGAGTTTTGGGCTTGAATTTATAATGAGTTTGAATTATCATGAACAGTCACCTGTTTGGAACTCAGATTTGTCAGTGTAATTGTTGAACAATGTTCACCTGTACGATGTCTAAGTAAATATCCCAATCAAACTTGAATCATCTCGAATTCTTGATTTCTTCACCTCAGTTCAAATGTATTTTCACTGCACTGTAGTAATGGCATGGTGATTACAGAGAGTGGAGGGAGGACAACTGTCAACCCTGTCTGACCCTAACCCTAACCCTAACCCTAAAGCCTACAGAGAAGACCAGTATGAAGTTCTGAATGAGCGGCTCCATCATAATAAACTCATCATACAATTTAGTGACTGTTTCATCATTCCACTCTACATCTATCGAACTCAAGTGAACTTCTTTTTTCCTGTTTTGTCTTTGTGTCCCCCGAAATTGACTTTGCCGGAAAAACAGCTCTCTACATATTTCAGTAAAAATAGCAAAAGTAATAAAGAGAAAGCATTCACCTAAAATTAATCCATGAGAAAAAACAAAATCATGTTCAGAATATTACTATAAATAATATTTCCATTACCATTAATTTGAATAAATTGCTGAGGCATGGCCAACCGTATACTTTCTCACTTAGGAGTATGAACATTATTTCATAGTGTCCCTGTGCATGGATCCTGATGGATTAAACTATTACACTGAATCTGCAATGTTTGACTAAAACTGCATTCAACACTATAAACAGTATTTACACAGGTGTATATGAAGTCAAATTCTCCAGTTAAGTGAAAACACATGGAATTGAGAGCTACTCTGTTAGAGAATGTTGTGGCTCTTGGAATGTCCTACCATAAATAAGCAGGACACACCAGCAAAACGTATGACGTCTTACCTCCTCCTCCAGCTTGACCACTTTAGCCTGTGCATTGTTGAGTGCCTGGTCTCTGATCTCAATATGTCTTCTCTGATCGTCTGTGGTAGAACGCAGTGCATTTAACTCCATGTCCAACTTCTCCTTTTCTCGTAGCATTTCTTTATCTGAACCAATGAGAAAAATAAAACCATGTACATCTTCATCATTTTTTACAATAATAACCATAACGCTAATAACTAGAAAGAGCTGTTGCTGTGAAGCAGATGTGACGATGCCGACCGCTGAAGCACACTAGAAGATGCTGAACAAACTGGAAAAGGTAGCAACTATTTCCTAAGAAGCCAATTCAAATGTAACAGGAAGTCATCTTAAAGTTGGAGCCTAAAGATTTCAAGGTTTTAGAATGAAGCTGAAGAGAGGAAGAAGAATCAGTATACAATTAGAAGCAATGAGTAGAAGGGTTCGAATATTTTATAGTAGTAGGCAAAACTGTAATGCAAATAACACTTTGAGTGTATATTTAAATGCATTAAAACTGAAAACTGAGGACCATTTAAAGACAACCAGAGAAAAAAAGTCAAAGGAATAACCAGAACCGTGTTGATCTGATGATCGAACGCAGCTCAATATCATCATTCCAGACACGAAGTCTCAAGCTGAGAGTGAGCCCAAGTTGGGCTGCCAGCTGGATTCAAACCCAGATACGGTCAAATGACGTCAATACAAACATACATGTTGTCTGTAGAAAACAGAGACGAGCTATTTGTGCATGTGTGTGTCACTCACTCTGCGCGAGCAGCTGGGAGATGGTTTTGCGGTTGTCCTCTGAGCCATCGCACTCCTTAGATGCAAGCTGCTTGTTTGCTGTCTCCATGCGTTCTTTTTGAAAAAGCAGACCATAACACAAATATTTGGTGCAAGAAAAATGCATCCACAAAAATATTATAGAGATGTTAGCAAGTTTCTTCCAGTTTATGGATTCACTCAGCTCTAGACTGTACAAAAACTGGATTGACTTCTAGCTTGGCACACCTGTTTGTCATCAGTAGGTTACCACCATGTGTGCTGTCTGTCTCTTAAAAGGGAGCAAATCATGGAGAGGTAGTGTATCAGGTTTGTTCTACGCAAAATCCATTTTATAATCCATTGCTGGGCACTATACCCTTTTTAAAAGATCTGGACATTTCAGGGTTTCCCATCTGACTCAGTCAACTGATCCACAGAAATGGCCAGCAGCCAAATTTAGGAGGAACAAGGACAGCAGACCCGAAAACCCTGAGATCTTACACCTCTAAGCCAAAGCCGGCAGCGTCTCTCCCAACTCCAAACGGGATGATTACATCGACCCGGTGGATCTTTAAAGCCCAAACGCTCTCATGGCTAAAACAGGAGATCACTGACCCAACCATGTCTGCAATGAAAGCTCTTTTTGACGAAAGCCAGCATCTAAGCATCGAAGATGAGGCGACAGCAGGAATTTGCCATCGAGGGAATAAAGAGTTTTACGACATGTTCAGGTCAAACGATGTGGTCAGTTTGCTGACAAAGGTCAGTAGACTCAAGACGGTAGACACTAACCTTCAGGAAAAGCGTGTGGACATGAAGGGATGGTTGAGGCGCGGCAATATCCGCATTTTGCATGGCCCTGAAACCACCAGGTTGAACACACCAGCAGCGGTTTCCAAGCTTCTCAAAGAGGCCCTGAACTTGCTAAACAACATCTTGGTTAATAGATCACTCCGAGGTCTCTCATCAAGGAAAACTGATGGCAAATCCTGTCATCGTGGCTAAATTGCATAATTATCCTGACTGTGCTGATGTTCTGCGAGGAATCAGGGATCTGGGAACCCAAAACGTCAGGGGCTCAACCATCATCCCAGACTACCCTCCAGCCATCATGCAAGGCAGGTCTGCATTATTTGAGGTGAAGAGGCAGCTCCTGGATAGTGACAAGACCTGATGTGGTCTACTGTTCCCAGCCAGGCTCCATATCACCCACAATACAACCAAGAGGCATTTTCCAAATCCACACGAGGCCAGGGCACATGTTAAGGCCAATATTCCCTAGAAACCTGCAAAGACCTAGTAGTTTACAGTACTAGTACTTTTTACACTTACATTGGCGGCTAGAAATGATCTTGAAGATCCTTTCTTCCTTTTTAGTAGCTTTTCAGAGTCATCAACATACCATACAGCCCTCATAGTTGTTGGTCTGATGTACTCAAGTATATTAACTTGTTCCATTAATATAAGCTAAATGGTTAAAAATATGAAATCTCCCAAGGGACTGTTCTGTGCTGAATGTCAAGAGAAAGCCAGGACAAAAACACAAATCGTTTGACTTCCAATCCTATCATGTATTCATTAAGTTATGTAATAAGTAATGTAATATGCACTTCTAACTTAACCTGTACTCTGACTGGTCCATGCAGATTATTTGTCTTCTAGACACTGGTCAGCCTTTATGTCAACACTTCTCAGCTTGATCGAATGCATTGTAACACTGAACATCTGCATCCTTTGGCTGCTAATGACACCCCCCTCAGCAGTGGCAGACCAGCCCTCCTACAGTCAGACAGTGCTTGCACCACTCCTCTAACCAGCTGCTCTCTACACTGAGCCTTGTGGAAACAGCTATGGCTAAACAATATGTCAAATGATATGTGAAGCCAAGGGAGACAAACCCACGACACTAAGACCCTCTTCACGACCAAAGGACCCAAAGAACCGATGCTTAGTTCCTGGTTTTCCAATAAACCTTCAGATGTTCTTTGACCACACATTTGTTGTGCATAACTCTTTGTCAGGATCAGGAGAGCTAACTTTCTATCCGACAGGTGGCCATAATGTTATGCCTGATCTGTCATAGTTTTAGTACGACTAGAAGACAACATGTTTTCACACCATTTTCGAATTTCATCTATGACTGTGATATCTCAGTATATTCAATATGACCAGTCTTTTTTTTAGATGTTTTAGTGGTGTTAGAAAAGTGGTGATGAAAAACACTAGAGTGAGAACATCAGAGCTCCTATCACAGTAGTTTCACCCTAGCCTCTCACCTCGGAGGTCTCTGTTGAAGTCATGCAGTCGGCGCACCTCTAGCTCCAACTTGTTCCTCATGGTTTTCTCCAGGGCTTCCCTCTTGGAGGAGGACTTAGCAAGGTTTTCATAGGCCTCCGAGACCAGCTGGATCTCTGTTTCCAACTGCCCACAGACACGAGACAAAGAATTAACTCATTATTGGGCATTCCCCCCATTTTGGAGCTACAGGAATTGGAGGCTGTTTTATCATACTGTAAAATATTTATCATAGGCGGCTGTCCCACCTCGGCTGCTGTGGCCTCCTTTACTGTGAAGGAGGTGTGCACAGAGCTAAGGAGGCTTCATGTGTGGAAATCTGCTGGCACTGATGGCTTATCACCACAGAAATGTAAGGAATGTGCATCAAAGTTGGCTGTGCCCTCACACAGTATCTAAAACCAAAGTCTTCAATCTCGTTGTGGTCCTGCTCAGTGGAAAATCTTGTGCCTTTTACTGGTGCCAAAGGTGAGAAGGCCTTCAGGGACTAATACCATCCAGCCTGCTAGTGAAGGGGAAGCTTTGAAAATATGGGAGTGGATGGGTGGTACAGAAAATCGATGCATGAAAATGAAAATATTACAAAGTTAATCAAAACAAGCGATGACTCCCTTGAAAATAAAATTCTTTAAAAACCAGATCAACGACCTTTCATCAAAAGACGTGATAAGCTCAACTTTTATTAGACTGATAGAAGAAGCTAATGGAATCAGAAAAGCATCTCTCCATCCATTTTCTATAACACTAGTATAGTAGAAAATTGTATCTAATAATAATAATAATAATACATGTTAATGTAATAATTTAATATAAATATGGGCAAACTTAAACTAATTGTTTGGCCAAAACAAAGAACAGAAAATAAGATATATCAAATTAAACCTGAAAATTTCCAAAGAAATTTTGAAGGTGGGGCACCTACTGCCCGTTCCAGGAACCTGGGCTGGCTTTCTGGGGCCCTCAAAACTGGGCTGGGAGCCTCTGGAGAGGTCACAGGACTGACATTTGGGTTGCCTATAATGTGGGTTTGGGCCTATGAGGGCGCCTGAGGGAGAGAAACAGAGCTGGGGGGACCTGACTGAGCTCTGGGGCCAACTCATCGAATGCCCATGGGGGGAGCAGGATGGGGTCACATTAGCTTAAAGCTGGGAAACCGACCTACGCAACGATGTTTGACAAGCCTAGGTCGACCAAGAGGGGGAGACCAAGCACGTCCAAGAAAGTGACACAACAGTAGAATGTGGAGGCAGCTTTCCTGCCTCCACATTCTACTGTTGAGTTCATTCTCTATGGGGCAAAGGATTCTGCCTAACATGGTCCTCCATCTTGTTTGGTTTGGACAGAGGCAGACCACAGCTGAGCTGGAAAAAAGACGTTTTAGATTGAGCAATGGCTTTCTGGGAATATACTCCTCCAAACCTGGCCATGTTGTAAATTCAGTCCAGCCAGGTGTGTGGGAGCCACTGTGCACGCTTGGCAGGGGTCTCCAATCACAGTCACTGGCAATGGACCCCCTAATTAGTGAGCACTTATTGATAATCTAACCGTCTTCAATGGCCTAGTTTATGAACCAATAGCCCAATATAAGTGTGTGTATATTTCATATATTCAAACCAATCTTGATGAAGAAAGTATATCTGTGGATTACGTCTTAAAAACAATCCTAAACATCCATCCATTTCCTGTACTGCTTATCCCCTAACGGGGTCGCTGGGGACTGGAGCCTATCCCAGTAGTCAATGGGCGAGAGGCGGGGTCACCCTGGACGGTCCCTAGTCCATCACAGGGCCAATCCCAAACATCACAACCTCTAAAGCCATGGACATATTTAGAGTGAACAGTAACCTAATTAACCAACACAGACCTCTTCGCATCCTATAAACTCTCCAAGTCAAAACAAAGGCCCCCTGTCTTAAAGGGTAATGATAAAACAAAACAAAAAAACTATCAGAATTTTTCCTATCATATCTAAAATAGTAGATCACCTTGGATGTAGTTCATCTCAACAGTTAGCACACTCCTCTTCACCGTATGAATCAGAAACGTGTTTCTTTATCAGATTGGAGTGAACATGTGGGAACTCTGTTCTACTAAAGCCAGCATTTATTCTCAAAGCCACTAGTACCTCTGTCAGAGCTATCTTATTTCTGCAGCAGTGCCCTCTGCTGGATGAAGTCCTGCACTGCTACCCCATCTCCTGGCTTAAGGAATCTTATATAAGTCGAAAAAACATAATAGGGCAAAATAACACGTCTACTTGTGAATGCCCAGAGCTGCCAAGGGGTGGGACATTTATACCTTGGTGTGCTTTTTCATTTTCCCTTAACATGTTTAGAACATGTAAAGAAAGTCACACAACTACACACTACAATTAAAAAAGCCAGTTTCCATCACATACAACCATCTTCTGACCTCAGTCAGTCAAAGCCTCTATGCGTGCCATGGTATTTGCTCATCTAACCTCCTGTTATGCATCATGGTCGCTTACAACTACAAGGACTGCACCTATCAGGTTTCTTAAAAAAAAAAAAACATAATAAAGGAATACAACATCCTCAAGTCTGAGGACTCTGTCTTATTTGTAATGTACTGAACCCCCACTGTTACCAGGAGATCAAGAAGAAGATAATGGAACAATCCTAAACAAAAGAGCTAAATACAGTCATACAGTCCTGGAACAAACTGCAGGAAATGATCTGGAGATCAGCAACTATTCATCGTTCAAACGTAGCCGAAGTCCTGCCATCACCACGTGTAACATCTGAGCTGAACAAAACCTGGACCTGTTTTTTCCCTTCCATCAGTGATGAATAATAATCACTTCTAGCTTTATAAAGGGTTTACTTTCTAGACTAAATGAGACGACTGTGAATTAGTAAAGAGCCATATTCTCAGGTTCTGGTCTCCTGCGGGGGCCCACAGTCAGACCCCAACCAGGGGAGGCTTTATTTCAGTTTTCTGCTCCTAAAACCTGGAGCAGTCTTCCTGAAGAAGTGAGACAGACCTCAACTCTGAATGTTTAAATCCAGGGTTAAGACAGTTCAGTTTAGCTGTGATCTGACAACTAAAAGGACTTTATATGCACTCTTTGCTTTTTATCTATTTAACCAGTTTTACTTAAACGTATTAATTTATTTCTACTATTAAACTCTCGCTTTTTCCAAACATTTTTTGTAAAGCACTTTGAGTTGTCTTGTGCCCAAATTGTGCTATACGAATACATCGGCCTTGCCTGGGCTAAACAGACCGTCGACAGCTTTTACTGACATTGTTACCTTGTGAAGTTTGGTGACTTTCTCGCGACATGCCTCCATCTCCTGCCTCAGCATCCTGTTCTCCTCTGTCAGCACATCCACCATCTGTTGGGCCCGAGCCATGATAGCATAAGGCTCCCCGTGCAGGTGTGGCAGGGACTGTGGGAGGGGGAAATGTCCAGCCTGGACTGAGAGCTGGGGCTGTGGAGGGGGGGGTCCCTGGAACTGCTGCTGCTGCTGTTGACATGGATGGTGCAGCTGCTGATGGTGGTGGTGGTGGTGCAACCTTGGGGCTGAGCCATAAGGATCAGAAGGGAAAGCATGGGCCCTCTGGGGGGTTTGATGGAGAGGCTCTGACATGTGGTGGGAGCCCGTTCCATGTGGACTACGAGGTCCCATAGGGAAATGCTCTCCCTGACACTGTGATTGTTGATGAGGAAAAGAGGGATGTGAGATGTGGGAGGCACTGAGGATGCTGCTGAGGGTGGAGGACTGGGCACGAGACAAGGAGCCAACAGACGTGACAGAGGAGGTAGGACTGTGCTGGTGAAAGGGCCTCTGGAAGTGAACCAAGCCCTCCTTACTGGATCTGAAGAGAGATCAGTTAGCATGTTTGTGTTCAGCTGAAAAAGAATTAAATGACCATCTTCCTGCTGACTGAAAAGAAAAAGACTTTGACAATGGACACAGTTTGTGGCACTTTGTAAGTACTTCTTATGAAATCCCATGCTGAGTAAGGTCAAAAGAAACCAAAAGTGTTCAGTGGGTTTGTTGTTCTTTTCAAACATGAACATAAGCAGACAGCATTCTTTGGTACAGCAGGGCTGAACAGGTACTGTGGGGGCAGAGGGGGCTCCGGGCTCTCCCAACACTCCACAGGAGAGAGCCTTTGTCCGTTTGTCTCTGATGCTGCCCCAAAACCAATTTTACCATCAGCTGACCAAGAGAAGATGTGACGCACGTTGCTGCTGACATTAAAGGAACTTTGCTCCATAAATAGTCTGTTGTCTTGTCTCTGTGTTTTATTCTTATATGTGAACCCCACAGCTATCTGTAGATATATCCACCTATTCGCCTCAAACAGAGACCCAGTTTGGCTTCCCCCTGGAGCTACATTGTGCCCATCAGAGAATCAACAAGCCCAACAAGGGTGGTTATGGTTAACTTTCCTCCTACAAACAAAATGGCAACAGAGCTGGGCTGTTTCGTATCTGAGACTGTGAAACAATAAGGGCGCTCTGGGCTGTGGCCAGCTTTCTCTGTACAGAGCGCTAACATGAAGAGCAACGCTGAGCATCCTCTGCCAAGACAGCCAGTCAGCTCACAGAGCTCTGTTTCTGTTGTACCTGAGCATTCCCAACAGATGCTGCCAGAAAGCAAAGGGCCGTCAGAAAGCTGTGGACCTTAGAACATTTCATCTTCCTTTATCAGCATTTGACAGGAATGCCCCTTTTGTCTGCTTTTCAAATGACTTCGGGCATTAAAATGAGAGGGTACCCGATTCAGAAAGAGCTCACTAACCAATTAGGACATTAGATAATCCATGAAAATCTAAAGTTATTAGCTTTGGTCAGTGAGTGACGCCAAACGAGTGTCAGTTGGGAATACAATATACAAAGATAGCTTAAAAAATTCAAATAATAATAATTTTTGCACAAATTGTCATATTGTCTTATATATCACTGTATTATTTTGGACAGTGTGATGAAGCTGTGCAGACTAAAGATGTTTAGGAATCTCATCAAAATGTGGCAGGGGCTCTACAAATAGCACCCCTGTGTCAAACATCAGCCTGATATGGGGCAGCCAAACGTTAAGAAAGTATTTAAGAATGGTGCCTGAACACAAATGCAGCCACCATGTCACAATTTTAACTAATATTCCCCCCTAAACTTCTACTTCCACTACAGGCATTGTCCACTGCCGTTTGCCTAATCGCTGAGTGGGCCACTTTATGGAAGACAAATGCTTTAAGCATCGTCCTCCCCTGTGTGCACATTTGGTTAGACTGAGCGAAAACACTAAAAAATAACCCCCCCTATGGACTCTATCCAAGTAGCACTTTTTCCAGTCAAGCTGACTGTACTTTTACAGGCCACTATCCCCTATCCACACGCCACCAGCTCTGCCCTCTATCCCACACATTCACAGGGGACAGGACAAAGTGGGAATTTCTGCCCAAAGACTGGAGTTGACTTTCAGATTACTCTTCCTACCGAGCTCCAGTCGGCCCGACAAATGGCCATAGCTGCTACAGCAGCACACTGAGAGCCCACCCTTTGGCACTTCCATCTTTGTCTTTATCTGCAGCCGTATGGAGACCTGTTGCTCCCGTGTGCATGTGTTATCTCAGGTGATGATTATTGACCTTATCATTGACCATTTTTCCAGACGGGAGACCCAAAGAGCTCCTTGAAGGCCGAGAAGTGTGTGAGGGGTCCTGATTAATGTTACGTTTGGTCTATAAAAAGTGAATTAAGCAATCAATACGAGTTCCGTGTGTGTATGGATTCCTTACCTGAAGGAGCCATACTCAGGGGGGGGTTGGTATCGGACATTTGGTACCTCCCTGGAGTGCTCCCTCCCTCTCTGTTCATGGTACGGATGGCCTCCAGGCTCTTGTTTGGGAGGAGATCCCATTCCTTTGATGGGGTAGTCAGGAGGTGGGCCTCGGTGCTGTGGCTTGTAGTAGTCAGTGGGCTGCCCAGGAGGGGGCAGCTGGGGGGAGAGTGGTGCGCTGCTGACAGGAGCGTGGGTCTTGACCCCGCTGGTGGCCAGGGAGAGCTGCATGAGGCGCTCACTGAGGGAGCGGACATGGCCCTGCTTCAGGTCTTTGAGCCCATCGTCCTGGTGCACCCGCCCCGCCCCGCTCAGCCGCTGCAGGTTGGGCCGGCCCTCGGTGCGCACCTTGGCGCTGCTGACCCCTGTGACGTAGAAGGCTGTCCCCACCGAGGTGGGCAGGGGGAGCTGCTGGGGGGGGGGGGTTCTGCTGCGGGGGCTGAGGGGCAGGACCTTGGCCACGGAAGTACTGGGACTGCACTTTAGCCTCTTCATATGTGGGGAGGTCCTCAGGGTTTGGACACTGCTCCTGGCTGCCCCCCCCTGCTCCACTACTACTGCCTCCTCCCCCCCCTCCACAAGCGTTGACACATCCTCCCCCTCCACCACTCCCTCCACCTCCTCCTACTTTGGTGGAGCCGAGTTTCTCTAGGCTACTGTCGGTCTGCAGTTCCTGTCCCTGGGGCTCTTGGCGAGCGATGTGAGCGGTCATGGAGTGCTCATCAGATGGGCTGACCTGTCCCTGTACCGAGTAAGCCCCGCCCCCACCTGCTCCCCCACTCCCACCTCCAGACTGCTGCTGCTGCTGCTGTAACACATAGTTCCGGTTCATCTGCTCTTGCAGGAGGCGTTGCAACACCGTGCTGCCCCCCCCCGCTACACTGTTACTGCTGTTGGAAAGCTCCTCACCAGCGGACCTCATCCTGGTCTCAAGCTGTCCAGGACACGCCCACCCTCAGTTACTACTGCCTGAAACAGAAAACAGAAACAGAGCCCACAAATAAGCCGCTGGCCGTTCATTATCTGCACTACTTATTCCTAGTGGGGTTGTGGGGGGGCTGGAGTCTAGCCCAGCTGACAATGGTGCGGTGAGGGATTCATGAAGCACTAACGTTTAGAAATTCATCTCAACAGAGACAATAGAAGATGGTGGGAGGTACAAATAGACCAGCAAAAATCTCATTTCACTGCAGCACTGATGGCCCTGTGTCCCAACTCTGGATTAGAGAAAGAGTGAAGGGCCCCAGTCTTTAAAGAGAGACAAAGACCTCAAACTGATTTACAAACAGCTATTATGTCCAAATGTTTCTCTTTCTGCATTTGGCAGAAACCTTTATCCAAAGTGACTTACAACATCACAGTTAGCATCCAGCTAACAATAAGCTAAATAACAGCAAAGCACCAGCCAGACTGTGTTAGAGGCCACAGTGCAGAGATCGAGGGCAGAACAGAAAGAGTCGGGGGGGGATTTAATAAATTATACAGGAGACTTCTGCAGCTGTTTGAGGGTTAGCTGTGGGTTCTTCAGAGATTAAGTTAGAACTGGCTACATTTCCTCTCCAGCCCAAGTGCTCACAGGATCACAGCATTTCAGAAAAGGGGAGGCCAAAAAGTAATGAGCCGGGAGTCAGGAGGTCACACAGCGGCTGAAAATCGGCTTTTTCTATCATTTCACTAGGAAACGGCATGTTTGGTACAGGCTGCTCATTAGTGTGTCCAGACTTCTTTCACTTCATGTGAGCTGTTTTCACACACTGAGGAAAAACACCTGACTTTTCAAAACCCACTTGGCAGAGCGTCAAATGCTCCAATTCAGGTGATGTCATCTAGATCACCCCAATGGTAGTACACTCATTAGACCCATTCATAAGACCCTAGGTTCTAGGGTCTTAATACTAAACACTGCGACACACTGCCGTAACACACTACGACACACTGCAGTAACACACTGCAACACACTGCCGTAACACACTACGACACTGCAGTAACACACTACGACACACTGCTGTAACACACTACGACACACTGCTGTAACACACTACGACACACTGCTGTAACACACTACGACACACTGCTGTAACACAATACGACACACTGCTGTAACACAATACGGCACTGCTGTAACACACTATGACACACTGCTGTAACACACTACAACACACTGCTGTAACACACTACG